GGAACAAACACATTTTCTGTTTGCGTGAATGTTTTTTTGTGATTGTTTAATGATACGTCTTTAAGTGATTCCATGATAAAATGTGATATTTTAAAAATCCACAGGATGTGCTTCAGTTATCGAGGTAACAAACTGCTCAGACTCCTCAAGAAAGTTTATTCCAGTTCGCTGGAAATGAAAATTCGACTGTCGAACTTCGAATTCAGGAGGAACAGAGCGAACACTGTCCATGCCCTGGAGCAGTCGACCAGTTCTAGGGGAGTTGCTGTGCGGGTCGCAGGAGTTTGACCAATTAGTTCACACAATTTCGAGAAGGTCCACACCGGTGCCCCCCGGAGCGCCCTATGAGGGCTCCTACAGGAGTGTTGTTGCTAAGAGCCATTCAGTTCTTGCGAATCCAAAAACTAAGAGTTGCGTTTGCATTCTCGGCACAAAGTCGACCAAGTTTCCGGTACATGTTGGACTCAGGGTCGTCCCTTGTCTCCGATCCCGTCTGTGATATTCATGGACGGGATGTCGAGGTGCTGCCAGGGTGAAGGGGGTATCCGGTTTGGAAACCTCACAGTTGAATCTTTGATGATGATGTGGTTCTGTTGGCTTCATCAGGTCTTGACATTCAGCATGCAGCGGGTCAGTTTACAGCTAAATGTCTGAATAAGAATCAAGTCCACGGCCACAATTCTCTGCTGGAAACCAGCGGCTGAGCTGTTGCCCCCAGCGAAAGAATTCAAGTATCTCAGGATCTTGTCGTCTTCAAGTGACAGGAAATTGAAGCGTGAGACGGAAACACAGACCGGTGCAGCGGCATCAGTAATGCAGGCGCTGAACCGGACTGTCACACTCGTAAAAGGAGCTGAACCAGAGGGCGAATCTCTCAATTTACTAGTCGATCTACATTCTAGTCCATGCCTGTGGTCGTGAGCTCTGTGTAGGCCTGAGGTCACGGATTCAAGTGGCTGAAATGAGCTTCCTCCGTCGGGTGGCCGAGCTCCGATGAGGTGAGGAGATTGGAGAACGTTTGAAGTGGAGTCGCTGCTTCTTGAGGTCGACAGGAGCAGCTGAGGTGGTTGGAGCATCTGATTAGGATGCATTATGGGCGACTTTCTCTGGAGGTTTTCTGGGCTCATCCAGAGACCCCCATGGTAGACCCAGAACCCTCTGGAGGGATCACATATCTCACCTGGCCCTTGATCTACCGAGAGAAACTGGAAAACGTTGCAAAGGACGTCTGGAATAAACTACTTCCTCTAAAACCAACCCAGAGAAGTGGTAGAACATACATGGATTGATTTGACGTATATCATAGTTGCACGATATTGGGTTTTGATCTGATATGCAGATTTCCAACTGATTCACATTTTTTCCACCTCGCTGCAGAGAACATCGCGTCTCTCCTCTAGTGGCACTAACATATTATTATACCTGCTGTTGTTGTGATGTTCCCCCAGCAGAGGCAGCCATTAAAATTTTTTTTTTTCGCCTTCGAATTTCCATATTCATGGTACAAAATAAAACTACTTCAGCTAGTCACTGTGCATCCCTGATATATATTTAAATAGGCTGTGATAATATCTTATTGGCTCCATCCCGAGGGCCTGAACGTCCAGTAAGAGACAATGATCGAGTGGTTTCAAACACTTCACCACCACTTTTTCTTCTCACTCTAACGAAGGCATGAATCACGTCAAGATGCTGCACGTTACTAAAGGTTTTAACTGTTACCGAGTCTTCCAGACCTCATCTTTTCAGACTCGGGATGCAGGTTGAGCTTTTACCAAAGTGCGAAGTTTCTTCATCAAACTCTAAAGTTTCTTGAACAACTCAATGTGTTTATGTTCCATTAGAAAATCTCAGAAGTACCGCAACTCGCATTGTAAGGAAATGGAAATTAATATTGTACTAATGCACACAAATTGATTTAAAAATGCTTTTCCCGCCACTAACATCCTGGTAATCGATATCCTTAGTTCACACCTTTGTATCAGCTGCTGGTTTGTATTAATCCTCATTTTAAGGGAACCTGCAGCGTCCCGCCGCCACGCTGAAAGTAAATCATTTACAGCCAACGTCCCGGACAGCTGAAAATATGTTCCAGCGATTAGAACAAAATCCGCTGCAGCTGTAGCTGGCAACGCTTTGAAGTGAGCTCAAATCATCCTCTTTTTTTGGGGGGGTATCCATGGAAACAAGATCACTACACCAAAGATCACAGCTTTCTAACAGCAACATGCTCTTTATGATAATAAAGTTTTATTTATGCAGCAGTTTATGAGAGATCCAAAGGGAGCAGAACCACATTTAAATGCTTTCCTGTCGTGTGGAATTTGGAAGTAAACAATCAGCTGTTTGACTAAATTACTGAAAGCGACGCACCAACAATCGGAGCCACGTTTACGTCAGAGTCACGTGGCCTCGGTGTCCCTGTGTCACTGACGCCGCCTGGTTCAGACAGACAGCCGGCTGGATCCATGAAGCCCCCTCCTGGGACCGGCTCACTTCCACCTCTGTACTGTGTGACCCACTTATCTGACAGCAGCTCTGTTGAAACTTTCAGAACAGATGAGCGCTTCCCTCGCTGGGCAACAAGGGCAAACACCAGAGAGTGAAAACAGAGCGAGGCAGATGGCGTCACCGCCTCAACGCTGTCAGATCTGTTCCTCTATGAGAGGCCTTTTGCTTTTAACTTACTTCTCTACAGCAAGAAAGGGAACTTATGGAGCCCGAAAAGACCCGTGATCCATCACAGTAAACATTTAACCAGCTTCATTGTCCTACACCTCTATGGAGGCGGCACAAGAATGTCTTTGTGCTGTGTGACAGGCTATAAATCATAAAAATGGAAAAATACAGCGTTGAATTTCTTCACTGATTTCACAAAAATTCTAAAAATATGTTAAAACACATATAAAGTTATGCTTTATGTGTTTAATTTGGTTCCATTCTGTGCACACACAGCCTGCAGTTCAGCCCAGTTAAGCCGAAAATCCCTGAATTTCTGTCACGTGACCGTCAGCTGCAGCTCAGTCATTAACAGCTAGACGGTTCTGCCGAGGAGCTCCGAATTTTTAGTTTCATACAGAATCGGGTTCCAGTCATGGGTATGTTTTTGGCAAATTTTCAAAATGAGAAAAGTGATGAATGTTGATGTACCGCAAATCCCAAACTATGAGCCGCTACTTCTTTCACACGCTTTGAACACTGTGACTTAAACAACGATGCGGCTAATTTATGGATTTTTACGGATTTGCCTCGAGACCAAAGTGACGCTGAGAGCGACAACAACAGAGAGACTGAGGAAGTGATGAAGTGATTCTGAG